AAATCAAATAATTACTCAGAATTTTAGATTCTTAAAGACTAAACAAAGGCCAAGGTCTCAGAATCAATTAAAACAATAATTAACAAGTAATAAACAGCAAACAGTTTGCGAGGGACGGGTGAAGTTTGCGACGTTGAGTTCTAGTTTCCTCGCTCTTATTAATTAATATTTACTCAACGATTTTCAATATCGCCAGTTGATTTAACAGTAAACATAAATATAAAACAAACTATGAATATAAACTACTAGCTATCGCCCGCGACTCGGTCCGCAATTAATTAAAATAAACACAATTAGTAGTCTATGTGTTCTTCCAGACGATGTTCTATATGTATGTCCAATTTGATTTAGATCCGTTCAGATGTTCTGGAGATACTTTCTAGCAAACATTCAACCATCCATCTAAACATTCGCATTTATAATATTAGTAACATTAATACCTACTAAATTATCGTAAAACTAAATTGCAAATGCGAATACGATATTATTTTTCCTACAAGCTTTCCGATGTTGACATTTAAAAAAATCATCCCTCTTATTTTCTTAGAACAAAGATAAGAAAATGTTTTTGTAAAGGTTTTTCTTCAGTGAAAACTCGGTTGTTAAACCGATCACGATTCATCTTTTATTCCAGTTTCTTGGGGAAAGTTAATTTCCTGTTATCTAACAGAAATACGCGAAAAGAAATGTCAATTAGAATTGCAGACTATATACAATGGAAATATTGAAATTAGATTCGATAAAAAATACTTTTAGAAATCACTTTAAATTAGGCTTCTTAGTAACAATTAAAAGGAATGTTCGAATGGAATAGAATTCTACTTGCAATTGTATCCTACTATTATTAAAAGATATGCAGACATAAAATAGTAAAATTTGAACAAAAAAATAATAATTTTAATACAATTTGTATGCTGTTTTCTTAGACTTTGTTTCTGCAATATGTGTCAAGTATTTTGACTTGCTTTACGTCGTGAAGGCACTTCTTTCTTGTATAACATTTGTGAGTCTGATAATATAAATTGTACCTAATCTATTACTGTGATGTTACATCATTGTAACTCAGTCCTGAATCTCACATTGTGAATTATTATTGTCAGATTTTGTCAGGAGATTTACATAACTTCTAACCTGCATGTAAAACTGTAGGGACACGCATATTGATAAAAATGTACCAATGATAGATGTTTCATTTACGTACGCACAGAGAAGGGCATGTATCTGGGCTCACCGTGTGAGTCCTCGTGCAACCCGAAGCTGGTGCACGTGTACTGCGAGCCGTCCACGCTGTCCTGCCAGTGCGACCCAAAGCACCCTGTCGCGCTCGGACCCGCCAAGGGCTGTGCCAGGCGTAAGTACTGATTTATACGAATGGATGCAAGTGAAGATGAACCATCAAACATTAAATATACCATACTTGCCCCTGCGTTTGAGAAAACAAAGGCAAACGCTAAATCATCTTGTAGGAGTTTTTGTTTAAAAAGACAAGAATAAAACGGGAAGGTGACATAGCTAATTCATGAGATTAACCTTTTCATGCTAATGATTTTATCTTTGTACGTTCCAGCGAAGAAGCTCGGCGAGCAATGCTTCTACCGGCAGACGTGCCGCGCGTTCGACCCGCACGCGTCCTGTGTGCAGGTTAACCACAACGCGTATTGCCAGTGCGAGCCTGGCTACCACAGCACCACGCACACGCGCCCCGTGCCGCGACTCTTCTGTACAGAAGGTAATCACTATAGACTTAGTATTCTAATCAGAAACAAAGAACTATAGGATTTCAGTTATTTTACACAGTTAGCTTACAACTATTGCATTCGCAGGCCATGTGGCTTATTTTTCATTGCCTCGGTTTCTTTATGCTATGGATTATTGTTGTTGCAGACATGGTGTTGCTGACGGCGGACATGCCCACGCTGCTGGGCGTGGCGTCGGGCATCTTCGTGTTGGCGGGGCTGCTCTGCATGGTGCTGCATCTATACACGCGCGCCCGCTACCATCCCGCTCACCTTGCTGACGCCCGCCTAACGCCACCCTGTCTCTACTCGCTCAACGATACCGGTATGATCGAAGTGTACACACAAGTCATCAGATCAAACACAAAGCTTGGTGACATTGTTGCAACAGCCGCTACTACTCCACTCTACCATTTGTGTGTGTCAATGTGCAGGAGGCACATTGAGCGCAACGCGTGCCTCGTCGCGCGCGTCCTCGCGCAGCGGCTGCACGAGCGGCTGCACGTCGGGCACGCTGGAGGGCGGTCGCGGGCGCGGGACTGGCGCGTCGCGCGCAGGTGCCGCGCGGGCGGCCGCCATCTTGTTAATCTCGCGCCACCTGAAGCCCGTAAGGGACGGCGGCGCGCACCCGCCAAAGTGCGCCGCCAAAGGTGAACCGGATGATGTATGCAACGCGCAACTTTACTGCAGTACGGCCCTTGAGCGACACCCCCGAATGCCTAATAACTAAACTATCAAAACTTAGAATTCATTGGAATAACTACGAGATGGGAATTAAATAAAAACATTTACCAAAAACTTTTAGGGTTGTTATCATAGTAGAAATGATTATGATTTTCATTCATTAATGTAAATCGTGCCTAGTCGGCTTAACTTGACAAATAGATAAAATTGAAAATGGAATGTCTGAACACAGCAAATGAAAATAATTAAATTAATCTCAAAACCATTATTCGCAATTAAAATAATGAAGACTCTTTTAAGACTCGGTGCTATGTCCAAAAAAGTTTGTAGTTTTAGCTATTTCTTGTTACCTTTTAGAGCCTTTGTCTCTATTCCCTATAAAAACTTTCAATCGCACTTTGTGTATAGAGGTTGGGCATTCGAGGAGATGTCGCTGGTGTCGCATGTCGCACGTGGCTCGTGTGGTTAGATGTCGCGTGTTGTTGTTAGCGGCGAGCGCTCCACCACGCGCACCGCGCTGTGTGTCCCCACCTTTATAACCAGCTCGTTCCTGTGTGTGAGCACGACTCCTTGTTAATGTAATATTGTAAACTAAAGATAAAGTTCATAACATTCAATTAAATTATTTTCACACGAGAATACTGTGGGGAGTCCCAAAATTCAAGTTTCTAAACAAAACTTCCTGCTAAAAAAACCGCATTTTAATGTACTAATTCATTCCGATTATGCGAAATTAACCAAACATCCTGAATATATGATCTCCAATAATAAACAAACGGATGTCGCTTATTGTAAAAGCTTTCCGTGGCTTTGGCGTGTTCATGTTATGGAAATTATAATTCGTGATTCGCAAACTAATGGTGTATCAGTCGCAGGACCTTACGTGTGCTTCGCGTGGCGCGAGCAAGATGGCCGCCGTTCTACGTCACTTCCTTCTATGTTGTACTATTCGCCTTTTGTTTGTCTGTTACGGAGCAATGGATCGATAAGAGGCTTTCTTGATTTATCACTTACAATTATTAACCAAAAAGCATATTACCTGTATGCTTTTAAAAAACTTAACGATCATTTGTTCCATAACAATAACAACGAAACTGAAGGTTCTGTTGGCCTTGTTTGGTATCCTTAGTACAAACAGTAAGAAAAATTTACTACAACATTTTTAGGTATGTCCACATACTCTCGAGATTAGCGGCGCATGTGCCGATGTGGACGCGCCCTAAAATTTTGCACATTTCTAAACTACACTTAAACATCCTAGTTTAATTCATTAAAGTAAATATTAACTAAGCATATCCTGTTAGCTTTTTTCATGAAGAAACATCGGTAAGTTATATCTTTGAAATGAAATTAAAATAAAGACTTTAACACCACCACTGGCTTATGAGACCAAAATCTTTGACAAATCAGAGATAACAATGTTATTTAAAATTTATTTTGGCCTCAGAAACCCATTTTAATAAATATAATACAACGAAAGGTGAGGCAAAGCTTCAGTTTCACTTGCACGTTTGCTTGCTTGTTGTGATTGTACCGATGTGTGTCTGTGTGTGCATGTGGCCGATGCTTTGATTTACCCAAATAATATGTAATTCCCGTACATTTATTTTTTTCGTATGTTTAATAAGTATTTTGTTACAGGCATTTCCGTAACGCTAGTTATGAACTGATAACATTTTATTTTAAATTCGTACGTAAATAATGTAACGTAAGTTTATTAAATACTTATTAATGTTGATAGATTTTTAGCTTTTTTAATATTATATAAATTTTCTTTTTGATAATTCTTTTAATATAATGTTTTAAAGGAATTTCTTTTAGTACTACAGTGACCGTTAATGGTATGATATAAAGATTCTGCAAAATTAAAAAATGCACTGATTCATTTTGCTTATTACCTACCATTTTCTCTCACCAAAATGGAAAGCATCAATTTCATAGTCTTTATGAGTACGTTAATGACATTTAATGCTTCTATCAAAGAATATATAAATTAAAGCTTATTAATACAGCCACAAACAATTTTCTTTCATAGACAATTGCGTAGACCATCTCCTGTCATAGATAATTTGATTAAAAACTATAACGGAGGATATTTGACAGGTTCGCGACGTCCAAGTCTGAACTCAGTGCAGAGCAGCTCGTCGTCGATCAGGAGTTACAGCGCGAAGCGTTGGGAACGTGAGCGTGAGCAAAAGGAACGCCGACAGATGAGCATGCGGCTCGCGCAGCTACACGACAAAATGGCCGCCGGACGCGAGTTGCCGCGCCACGCACCCACGCCATCGCCGCGCTCGCCCAACAACTCCACCGACGGCTTGCTGCCCGCTGTTTGTGAAATTAGAGAAGTACGACTATCTTAAATATATATTAATCCATTGCTGGACAGTTAGCAGTAACTAATTATCTGCCATTTTAGAAAAAAATGCCCTCTTCTTGCATAGCGGTTCGTTTTCGCACCATCATTTTAATCACTTAAACAGGCAAACAATGAAGCGACTATGATTGCTATTCATAAGCACAAGGAGTTTTTTGCAATGTATTAGCAAGATCTGAATGCACTGTTATGAAAAGCTACATATAAATAATTAATTACAGTTAATAACAAATTCGGAGCAACAGCTGCAGGGAGTGGACGGACCTTGCTCCAGCTCCTCGCTTTACTGACCCCAGCCGCGGGGAACGACCAGCCGACGGTCCTTAGATTCCCTCTCCTCTGACGGCGCCCCTGCCCTCGCCTGGATGTAACTACCGAACGAACGGTATAAAGAACGAAAGAACTATAGTGCTCGCTGGAGTTGAACGAATGAACTGAGGTGTGAACTGAACTATTTGATAGATGGTATTGTGAGAAACATTTTACAAGTGATGTAGTGTTTGATAAAAAGGTTTTTTGTAAGCTCGCAGTGTCGCTAATTCTGAGATGATTTAATGGATTCTGAGCAAACTCGTTCTTCATTCTACGTTCTATATGTTGTACGTTACAGCGATAAGTGATTTTAAATAAAAATACTGTTATATTTCTTAAAAATAAAAACCATAATTGATTCGTAATAAAACTGTTGAGTATATACAATTGGAGATATGTCAAATAGGTCTAAAACTGATTTGATAATGAAGTATGATATTAACTCCAATAGTATATTATTTAAGTATAGATCACAATCCCATAAACCCCCAAACAGGAACACCATATCGAATTAAAACGATAATAACGTAACTAGATATTTTAAAAATATTAAACATCGCGGCCTGTGGTTACTAAACTAAAATAAGATTGACCGATATTTTTAGTGTTTCTTAGGTTTCATTGAGCGAAAATATTTTTGAAAAAGAAAAAAATATTTTACCTAAATCTGTGGACAAAAAAATGGTTAAAATCTTGTGGCACTGGTCGCTGTGTTTAACAATAGTTAACATTTAAAAATTGATACTGATTTTACGAATAACTATAAAAGTATTTTTAATGGAAAGCTTGAAAGCTATTAGATGAAGCACTGTGGAGTTAGATTAAACATTATTAGATTCAATGAAATGCTTGAATAATAATAAAATAATAAAGGCCTCTGTATCCTAGATATTTGTTAAATGAACAGATAAAATGTTGATATAAGATTACCGTCCTATTTCAAGCTCATAGAGTATGGTTTTGATTAGTCTTGTCATGAATATTGATGGTCAGATGACTTCGTGCCGCCGAGTATATATTTCATCGCGATGAATAAATCAGTCAGATGTGTAGTCAGTCTGGTATCGCCATCCTGCCATAACCAAAACAGTGAATGATTTTTAATAATGTTTAATCTAACAAATCTGCCAACCCTTAACTGGGTGTGTTAGATATAGGATAATTATATAATAAAATGTATATGGAATAAGATTAATATTTGTTGAAAGTTTTAATCATAGTAAATTATATTTATTTACTTAAAATAACGTTAAATTTGCTGTCATTTACCACATTAATACTTCCTGTATCAATTAAACAAGCAGTACAAGATTGTTTTGAAAGAAAATACAAAATAAGAGATATTCAATAAAAATAAAATAATAAGTAAAACCCTTGGCGCCAGTAATTTATCAAGAAAGTTTTGTACTACGCTTGTCTCATACTAATTTTGTGATATCTGTTAAATTACTATTATAAATATTTTTTAGTTTGTTCAATACTTGATGCGAGAAGTATAAACATGTAAAGGGCCTCATTTAAATATAATTGACCCGCAAAGCGTAGTTGGGAACCTACTGAGTTATGGCTCGGTGTTGTGTTGCCGCGAAATGCATTGTAACGTTACGTTGGCAGCGCAATTACTGAGTTTAGTGGAATATTTAAATAAATTGGTACCTGTTCTCATCGTGGCTTCTGAAAATAAACGTGGTTTAATATACATGAGTATTTTATTGTGTTATATTACAAATCATAGTCAGTAATTAAAATTCGGTAAATATATAGAAAAACAAGTACACTCACGTTTGGTCTAGGACCTAGGCTTAGGACTTAGGTACTCAGTTATGGAATCGTAACAAGTTGAAAGCGCCATTTAATTTTAAATAGCAAATATATTTTCTGAACTAAATCTTACGGCACTTCGTGTGAATTTTATTTAAATAAATATGCGAGATGTATGAACAAGTAAAATAAATCAGTTTATTTAAAAAGATAATTATGCTTTGCAAGGATAATTATGTCATTGATGAAGCTAACATTTTAATTTGACAATCCGTTACTGCATAAAGAGATTAAATATACCTTACATAATGCTAATCTTTACCAAAACAATTGAATTACTAATAATAACTGTCTTGTAATTATTTTACGAGTCATCGGTGAGTTACATTCTACAGTCTTTCACATGAATCTTGTGTTAATCCAGAAATATTAACGAGCGACGTCCTTCAATCTAGATATCACGTTGGCACGGTATCGTTTGCCTGCAGAAATAGACCACGATTGTATCTATCTAAACGACCCAATAACGAAGATTAACTATAATGAAGACCACGAGCAATATAAAACAAGACATTATGTACTAAAATAAACCGTTAATTTAAATGTATCACGATCTAATGTAATGGAAAACCAATAATTTTAATTCTTTAGAATCTGATGGTCATTTTAATGCCTTGAAGAGACATATTCAATTACATCGCTTGCGAAGCGTTGAGATGTGTCTGTGTTTTGTATGTTTTTAAGCTAATCAAAAATTTTGCTGGGTCTGAATACAAATCCTTAAATTTTTAACTATTGAATGTAATTAATTATAGAATAAAATAAAGTACGTTTTCTGAATAGATTATAAATTAAAAATAAATCGACAAAAATGTCTCGCATCTGTTAGCTGTAACGTTTGAAATATTGAATAATCCGTATTATCCTAATTGGGTACTAATGGCGCTCTAAATATACTGCTCCAGAAATTATGCATAACCTTCTTTGTGGCAGACTCAAGGGCTGTTTCTATTGGAACGTTGTTACGGAAGTCCTTTACACTTCCTTGTATAAAGTTGTACGATATTAGCTCTCCAGGTGGTGTGCAAAACCGCTCAGACAAATTAATAACAACCAACGCTTAGTTTTATTTAGATCAACTATTTTTACTCAAATATTTCGAGGTAACGAACTACTGTGTATAAATTTATTTCGATATTTCAAACAAATTAGAAATAGAACGTTGAAAAAAGTTTCAACTCACTTCTTATTTCTTATTAGTCGTGAAACTCTTTGTTAGATTTTTATCTTACTAATATTATAAATGTGAATGTTAAGATGGATGGATGTTTGTTTGAAGGTATATTCAGAACGACTCATCGAATCTTGATTAAATTTGGCATACGTTTAGAACATAGTCTGGAAGATCACATAGGCTACTAATTAAGTTTTTTTTTAATTGCGTGCGAACGGAGTCGAGGGTTGCAGCTAGTATTATACCTACAGTGTAGATGCCATTTAAATCAAATACGAATTTATAATTTTATTACAATATGATTCCTCAACACATTTTATCGTAGACGATGTTATGATTCTTCAACCATAGTAACCGCATATGTGGTAGTATGATAAAAATAATATGCGTATTTCTTTTATCACATCTGATAAGGAATAGACGGGTAATTTACATGTATATTCAAACATATCCACTAAAGTCTTTTGTGATCATTTCAAAAGATTCTTTATAAAATTCACATTATCACAAATAAAGAGGCACACGCTCATCCTTCCAAGTTCATTTGCTTCCTATTCAAACTGTCCGGGAACACTGTTTGTGGTGTCATTGACACGAGAAACACGACACATCCAGCTGACTATGTACGGAGGGACATCGAACTTGTTCCCCATTGAAATTCAAACTTTATATTCGCAGTTAACTGCCTTCTAGAATAAAAATAAAAGATAAGTAAATTCCATCTACCATCAAGATTAGAGAAGGTTAAGCCAACCGTCATATAATGACGATGACACGGAATAACAATAAAAAATCAGAAAAAAACATACATACATATTTTGTAAATCAGTCTTCGGGTACCATAATATATTGTTATTTTTCGTACTTTACCATTTTGCTAAAATCAAGAGATCAATAAATCATTGTTATCACTGGGCAAAGAAAACATTTATCGCTGTTAATTACAGCACCGTCCTTAACACGGCCTCGGACTTCGGCTTTTATTACAAGACGCGAACTATAACTAATTATGGTAGCAAGTCTGCTTCGCGCCAATTATGTGTAACTGATGAGGAAATGACCCCGAGACGACATAATGAACTCCCTCGATGGAAAGTCAACATTACTAAGACATGTTGCGCTGAGCAAATAAAGACAGGTATTATTTCCGACATCTGTCGTGCTCATCGGGGACAGAACACGGTCCTAGTTCAGTTCAATCCTGCAATTTAGATGTCACTAGTGCCCAGTGTTGGGGAAAAACTGGCACTCCATCCTATGGGAACTGACGTTACGTTATTATGGTTGGAAATGGCTTGAAAATTATTAAATCGACGTAAACAGTTTATATTTTATGTCCGGTGTTCATTACGCACATAAAGCGGATGTTCGCAGAGGTGTTTTATCTTTCTTCGAGTTTAAATATAAATATGCAAATTGCAATAACAATTAACTTGGTTGTAGAATAAAATCGAAGTCCACTTAACCGTTTCATAATTTATCACTCACATCGTCAGTTGCCGCGACTTCGTCCGCGACGAATTAAAAAAAATAGTAATCAACATAGATACATCCTTTGTCACCCGAGGATAGTGTAGCTTAAGAACGTAGGAGAATTTCTCGAAACATTTCAAATCAAGACTTGCGTATATCATGCAATAGAAGTGAGTGATTTTAATTTAGACTTAACTTCAAGTTACTAGGTTCGTGGACACATTGGTTTTTTCAGCTCAATCAGGAATCGTAAAGTAGATAAAATTTAATTTGCAAAATGTGTAACATCAGAATAGGTGGAACTTAAAAGCTTGTAAAATGTAGGCGAGCTGCAATTCCTGGCTTTACCTAAATGAATAATTAAATCAGAATTATCTGTTCTATAAAAAGGTTTTTAAAATAAAGACAGTAATAAATTTTAAAATTTCCTTTATTTTCAAGCTTCAACACTGAGATGACAATGAGAAGACAGAATACAGGTGGAATGTTTAATCAACCTCTTCGATGGTGGGTCCGGCTCCGCCACCGGGGGCTGCGCCGGCGCCGGGGGCGGCACCAGGGAAGCCGGGTACACCTCCGGGCATGCCGCCGGGCGCTCCGCCCGCGCTCTGGTACAGCTTAGTGATGATGGGGTTGCAGATCGCCTCCAAGTCCTTCTGCTTGTGCTCGTACTCCTCCTTCTCCGCAAGGTGGTTGGAGTCCAGCCACTTGATGGTCTCGTAGCACTTGTCCAAGATGGTCTGCTTGTCGGCGTCCGAGATCTTGTCCTTCAACTTCTCCTCCTCCATGGTAGACTTCATGTTGAAGCAGTACGATTCGAGCGCATTCTTGGCTTGAATGGTCTCCTTCTGCTTGTCATCCTCGTTTCTGTACTTCTCAGCCTCGTTCACCATGCGCTCGATCTCCTCCTTGGACAGGCGGCCCTTATCGTTGGTGATGGTGATCTTGTTCTCCTTGTTGGTGGACTTCTCGACGGCGGATACGTTCAGAATGCCGTTGGCGTCGATGTCGAAGGTGACTTCGATTTGCGGGACGCCACGGGGTGCGGGTGGGATGCCGGTGAGTTCGAACTTGCCGAGGAGGTTATTGTCCTTGGTCATGGCGCGCTCACCTTCGAATACTTGGATCAGTACACCGGGTTGGTTGTCAGAGTAGGTTGTGAAGGTCTGGGTCTGCTTCGTGGGAATGGTAGTGTTACGCTTGATAAGCGTGGTCATGACTCCACCGGCGGTCTCGATACCGAGCGACAGGGGCGTCACGTCGAGAAGCAGCAGGTCCTGCACTTCCTCGGACTTGTCGCCGTGCAGAATGGCAGCCTGGACGGCCGCGCCGTAAGCAACGGCCTCGTCGGGATTGATGGATTTGTTGAGCTCCTTGCCATTGAAGAAGTCCTGAAGGAGCTTCTGTACTTTGGGAATGCGAGTAGATCCACCGACCAATACGATGTCGTGGATTTGGGACTTGTCCATTTTGGCGTCACGTATGGACTTCTCTACGGGCTCCATGGTTGATCTGAACAGGTCGGCGTTCAGCTCTTCGAAGCGAGCACGGGTGATGGACGTGTAGAAATCGATACCCTCGAATAGAGAATCGATTTCAATGCTAGCTTGCGTGGAAGAAGAAAGGGTCCTCTTCGCCCTCTCGCAAGCCGTGCGCAACCTACGGAGTGCTCGCTTGTTGGTGGTAAGGTCCTTCTTGTATTTCCTCTTGAACTCCTGGACGAAGTGGTTGACCATACGGTTGTCAAAGTCCTCGCCTCCCAAGTGAGTGTCACCAGCGGTGGACTTCACTTCGAAGATACCATCCTCGATGGTCAGGATGGACACATCGAAAGTACCACCGCCAAGATCGAAAATAAGTACATTACGTTCTCCACCTCCCTTTTTGTCAAGACCGTACGCAATCGCAGCAGCAGTCGGTTCGTTGATGATACGGAGAACATTGAGGCCAGAGATCGTACCCGCATCTTTAGTGGCCTGTCTTTGTGAGTCATTGAAGTACGCTGGAACCGTAATTACTGCATTCTGCACCGTTTTACCAAGGTAGGCCTCGGCTGTTTCCTTCATTTTCGTAAGCACCATTGAGCTCACTTCTTCAGGGAAGAAGGTTTTGTCTTCACCTTTGTATGATACCTTAATCTTTGGTTTGCCACCATCACTGACTACCTCGAAGGGCCAGTGTTTCATGTCGGCTTGTACTGTGGTGTCCTCGAACTTGCGACCGATGAGTCGCTTGGCGTCTGTAACAAACAGAAAGACGTATTATTAAAATGAACTCTTCGTTGACTTTAACATCTCATTACAATATAACCTCAGATTATTTTTATCATTCAATGTGTTCAGAGACTCTAGTCTAGTATATTGGGTATCATCATAAAGATTATCAATAGTTCATAAGTTTGTTACTTGTACATAGAAATATGCCTTACATAAAACAAATCATTGCTAGGCGTTATCAAAGATATTTATGGGTCGGTCAAACTCGTAACTTGAACTTAAACCTTCAGACCACGTGACGGTCACGTTATTGCCCACATATCCATTTAATTTAATTAATTTTGAACAATGGAATCCATGAAAAAATGCAGTTATGTAATTCTGCAATTGCATTCTTGCAATGCCTTCCAACAAAATAAACACTTCATATTTTCATACTTAAATAACAAAGAAGTACATGCTAATAAAAAATTTATGGTCGTAATAGCGATTAAATGAAGATTCTTTGGTTGCCTTGTGCCGGCCGGGAAGAGACCACGTGGTCCATATACGTGCACGAGGTGCGCGCATTTTGTAGTTTCATAATTAAACTTACCGAAGATGGTGTTATTGGGGTTCATCGCCACCTGGTTCTTGGCGGCATCGCCGATGAGACGCTCCGTGTCCGTGAAGGCGACATATGAGGGCGTGGTCCTGTTGCCCTGGTCGTTGGCGATGATCTCCACCTTCCCGTGCTGGAATACTCCCACGCACGAGTACGTTGTACCCAAATCAATACCTACCGCTGGTGCTTTGGCCATCTGTAACAAAAAAAATTAAAGGTTAACTCGATTTCAAAGATGGCGGATCAGACGCGCATATAAAATCGCAGGAACGCGCAGGCGTCATATAAAAAATCGATAGGAACGTTCTCGAACGGCTCATTGCTTTGTTTTTCATACAAGCTTTAGATTCTGTGGAAACTATGGCATTTCAAGTTAAATGTCAATAAAAAGATTGTTGTTATTACCACGTTATTCTTAAGACAAGGAGTTACTCAAAATTAACTTAAATTTCAACATAGAAAATCACTGAGTCATGAGGAAGCTGACTAAACTGATAACAATTCAAGGAAATTTCCCGATGAACATAATACCAAGAACACTACGGATTCATAATCCTGGAATAATTTACATTGAAGCTATTCTATCGATGTATGTTTTTAAAATCCATGCACTTACTTTATTAGTTTAGCTAATCCTCTTGTTCTGTAGCTTTGTAGATTAATCTAGTAGATCTCTCAGCAAACGTGCGCGATTGACGGTTTCGTGTCACGAAATAAAACTGAAGCGGCATTGGGTGCTCTGCGCGGTTTTATGCGCACACGTAACGACTCGACGTCACTAGACATTTCTGGAATATTCCATAAAACCGGCCAATGAAAACGCAGATCGATAGACGCTTTGAGCTACTATTGGTTAAAATTAAAAACTGTAGGGCGTTACTGCAGTACAACATATAAATGCAGTAGTGTTGCGTGTATTCACTATTGATTTTTCCAAGTCCTTTACAGAGAAGGTCGAGGTGAACAATAAGGGAAGATTTTAAGTACGAATTTAGTGCAATTATTTTTATAAAATTATGTAAAAACTAGTAAACTGCTCAAAAACATTTTAGCTAGATAAAGTTATTGTATTATATAGAAATATCTCAAAGTTAATATCTTACTTCGGATCATTTTTGTTATTTATTATATATGTTGTAAAAAATCATCATCAGGATCAACATATTGATGACGAACATGCTAAAGGAAGTTTTATGCCAATATCCAGGCATATATAAATAATATGCCTGGAAAAGGCAAATTGTGCACTTAGATTAGGTAAATGGCTGACAGCAGTTATTATTTGAAAATTACATTGATGTATATTTACAACTTGCTGTAAGATATGTTACATATTTGTATATGTAATAAAATATTTTATTTGATAAACCATCAATCCCATCATCATCATTTGTTCTCCTTATTATTAGGCAAATTTCTCGAACTGACAACATTTCAAGTAAGCCTTAACCTTAATACAGATTATAACTTAGTAAAAAAAGTAGTTGAAAATGGAAAAATTAAGAAAACGTAACAGAAATGTAGAAAAAAAAAATTGGGAGCCTTTATTATATCTAAATGGACAATAACAGTTGAAAATATTCACAAAATGTTGTTATTTTTACAATCGATCATCAAAGTTTAGGAAACCACGTGGTAGTTTGCGCGCCAAAATTGTTTTCGGATATTTAATTACGTTTTATCCAGAGTTTAAAACATTAAAAGGGGCTGAATTTCTGTGTCGGTGATATTTCTGACGAATTTTTTTAATTATCTTAACAATAATGTAATTGAAATGACACAAAAAGCGTATTTATCAAAAATTTTAATCAAAACAAAACAATACTTTATAAATCAATGTCGCAATGATTGCAAATAACACATCATGGATATCGCGTAACCACGAGAATGTTCTTGTCAGTATGATTAATTTTATTGTGTTATTTGAAGTCCATTCATTACCATATCTATAAAATTCTTCTGCCAAAACGTATTAAAACATGTCTGCCTGCATAAGCTTTTTTTTTTCAAGGACAAAAAGAGGTTTGACTTTATGTTGTGTTTCTATACAAGTGTTCTAACAATGGAAACCCATAGCAACGGTCGTTTTTTTGATAACCTTTGTTTTTTTTCACTGATTACATATTTTAGGCTTTACGAAACAATTTTTATTATTCTATGTGAAGAGTGTTACACAATAGGAAAGGAGGTTTAGTTCAGCCATTGTTTTTTTTTATTTATATAGCTTCCATCTTATTCAGACAGTATTTTCATTTAGGTAATTAAAGAAATAACATTTTTTTAAATAATTTATTTATTCTTTAAAAATATTCAAAAATTTAAACACAAAACACATAACTTATATAAATGTCACAATGACAAAACAAAAATCAATTGCATGTAATCTTGGAAAGTCACTGCAAATATACCAACTAAAATACTGACATCTTTTTAAAACAGAGTTATTGTGGGTTTCTGAGACCGAAAATTCCATTTAAAATATTGTTATTTCTGTTTCGTCAATATGAAATGGAAAACAATATGTTCTATACAAATTCTGGTCTTAAAAACCAACAGTCTATAATTCAAAATGATTATACGAGTGTTTTTTTCTTATTATCATAAAAGAAGTAACTTTATATAGAAAATTAGTTTGAAAAGATGTCAGATTTATATTTGTTTAATTAAACAGAAAATAATTTTGTCATTTATATGAGAAAGCTGGTTTTAGAATTCGGCATAAGAATGTTAAATACAATATTACTACAAATAAATAGTTTTCTGTCTTGTCTTAAAATTATTTAGTATCAAATATATTCCAATTGAATCACACATTTCATAAAATCAGTTGTAAAACAAAATGCATACACTTCTTAAATACAAAATATGTTAATCTTATTTAGCGATTTTTTAAATTGTTCTTTACCCTTAATTAATATAAATATTCAAAAATTCACAACACAAACTAAAGCCTAGCTTACAAAAACAAACAATATTGTACCTGGCAATTGATTTGGCACGTCGAGAACACGCGTACTTTACTATTCGACGTGCCAACTCAAACGCCAAACCGAGTTTCCTTTGTCGAAGCACTTGTACAAAATCAATGTTTTTTATTCTTCATTCTCTTATAAAAACCAGATACAACAATATGGGTCATAACAAGTGTCCACGACCGTACAATTTCACGGTATACTTCTATTCAAATATCTTGGCGGCTCGTAACAGTGCGCTCCTACAGCATGTGTTTAGAGCTGCCAATATATAACAACCTCTATACCACGTTATAAAAATAACATTTTCAGTGCCACTGATTTCATAATTCCTTTAAAACATAGAAATCGTGGCATTGAAGGTGTTAGTGAGAGTAGACAGAGTGGTGTTCATGAGATCCTGAAGTATGACTGGTACATGGTGCCCAGCGAGGTGGTGAGGAACCAGGCGAAGCAGCACCACCAACTTGCGAACCCCAGCAGCCCGCGGTGCACCTCCACAGTGAATATCTATCAAACATACAAATCTATTAATCTTACTTATGTTATAAATAAGAATGTTTATTAGAAGCTATTTCCAGACCGACTTAACGGACCTCGCTGAAATTTGGATAGAAAAATGTATGAATAAACCGGCACGTACAGAGTCGCGTGCCACAACTAGTATGTATTATAATTTTCAAAACGCCCACCATCTTTAGATTCTCCCACGCCATCTGATACTGTTCGATGCCCTCCACGTCCAGTGTACTAGGCATCGTCCTACTCTCCTGTCCTAATGTCCTGACCGCTGGCTCACTGTCGTAGAGCAGGCCAGTCCAGCTGTAGCCGCCCAGCGTCTTGTACATCAGCGTCAGGAACAGGCACAGTATGATAGGGCACAAGTACTGCAGCGCAACCACACACAGGTAGTAAAATACTGAGGCTATCTGCAATATTAAATAATATTTACGTATTTATGTTCTGTTATTTTTGTATTTTCGATAAAAAAAGAAAAATGGTTAGAATTTTTACTACAGGTGTGGTAGTAGAAATAGTAAAAGCATATAAATATATAAAATTGAGTTAATTTCTACTTAGTTTTGTAAAAAACATCGCATTATTTAACTAATATAAAATAGCGACATCTATGGTTTGCGAATATAAAGCAGCTACATTCAACTAAGTTGTCTGTTAATCAAAGATAGATGGCACTACCAGTACCGAGATTTGTAAAACATTTTAAGGTGAGTGAAAAAAATTATGAACCTTTTTCTGTAAATCAATGTTTGTAATCCTGCCAGCCTCCTTCTTCTGCGAGTCGAGTTTCCTCTGCGCCATGTCGAGGTATGCCTGCAGCTGTCGCGGCATCAGCACTAACTTGATCACCACTGTCACCACAACCAGCAACAGACGGAGTGTGTCAAATGCTTGTGATGTCATACTGGAATGGTCACATAGTTTTTGTTGATAAGGCAACATATGAGGAATCTCAAATTACTGACATTTTTTTTAATATTTTAGGCAATACTTAGGAACTGTTATTTTTACATTTATTTATTTAACTGTAAACAAATTAATTTCCTAAAATGTTATATATTAGAAGATAATTTATCTAACACTTAAAGCTTCTAAAATAATACTCACAGAGGTGAAGTCATTCCACTGAACACCCTAACAGTCAAATAATGTCTGGTGATAGGACGGACCCACAGCAGGACCAGCACAAAGGGCATCGCAAAGTTTATATTCAGAAGTAAAACTTTCAATTTATTATCATCATAATATCTGTAATTAGAGACAAATACATATATCAAAAAATTATTGCATTTGCTTTATTTTATTAAAATACTTCTTTATATAGAAAAAAGGCATTGTAGTAAAGTAAATAACATTATGTGACCCAAATCTTTTAAATAACAATAGTAAAGAAACTACTAAAGATTAAAAGTAGATTTTACTACTAAACATGTATACCATGAATTACCTCAATGAATCCCAATGCATCCTGGCAACCCTCAGTCCGGGGAAAGTAAACAGTGTACCAATGATAGCCGCCCACACTGCCAGAGACAACTTCAATATCAGTTTTGAAGCCGGCCCTCTGGAAACACATTTAAATGAAGAAGCATCCCAAAAAAAGCTGTAGTTGTAAGAAATAATAGTGTAGTAAGTTTTTTATTTTAACAATTATTATGCTCTTAGTATAGATAAAAAATTCTTTTAAATTATTCAAACTTTCGTGAGACATTATAATAAACTTATATCAAAACGGCTAAACCCTCACGTATATTCGTCCGGTGGCACCAACTAGTTTCGAGCCCATCGGGGGCCCTTCATCAGAGCGACGGGCCACATCCGCGAAATAATACCAGTCCCACTCACCCTGATGAAGGGCCCCCGATGGGCTAGAAACCAGTCGGTGCCGCCACCGGACGAATATACGTGAGTGTTTAGCCGTTTTTATATAAGTTTAGAAAGTTCTTTAATTCTCATTCAAAATAAAAATGGCTTTAAGTCTTTAAACATTGACAAAGTTTATTTTTATGTTTAACTTACACAGATGATAATCCTTGATTCTCCAGGAACTTAGATGCATTTTCATAGAAACTGTCATACGCTGGATCTACACCTACTTCTAGATTAGATTCATCAACAATTAACACCATCATTGCTATCAGCAGGAAGACGCAGAATGCCACAATGCATGTAGACCTCTCTCCTATAGACTCCTCACTTGTAAAGTACTGCTTTGTTAGTGACAGTAAGATTTTACTGTTTACATATTAAGGAATAAATTTGCCTTTTTATTATGAATTTTTGCTGATAAAACACATATACAAATATACTATGATCCCTCTTATTACCTATGAAAAAAAAACCAGACTTACTTGTTTCTGTACTAATATCTCACATTAGGAAATTGGTTAGAAAGAACACAGTTGGCTTATCCAACAGCTTGTTTTATTATTAGCCTTTGTAAAATTAACCTAGCTATTATTCATCTGAATGTTTAGATGGATCGATGGATGTTTGTTTGAAGAGATCTTCAGAATGGCCTTAGGGATCTCATTGAAATATGGCATAGATGTAGAACATAGCCTGGAAGAACACATAGGCTACTAACTAAGTTTTTTTTTAAAAATTTGCCCTGATGGAGTTGTGAGCCACAGCTAGTGTATGTATTAATGAACAGTGTTTTATTTTAAATCAAATAACAAAAGGATACAATGTAAAAAGCACCACAAGTAAGCACCAAACCATGCTCAGATTGAACTCATCCTTCAGTGGGAATATCCCTGTGTAAATCTGCAATACAGCATTATTTTTATAAGTAGTTAAAATAAACATTTGGAATATAGATATACCTATATTCACTGTTCTGTTAAAATGTGTTGAATTAGCCTAAACTCTATTGGTAGAGAACATAATATTAATTTTGAGAGTTAAACCTTCTTTCTACATCTCATAAATATAAATATGTTAATATAAATAATATAATTGTTTAACTATTCCTTTGGCTCAACTTAGCAAGAGTACTACCATATTATACTGAACACTCACCTCCGACAAGACATAGACAATGCTTGTGTATAAAGAAAAATCAACAATCCACAAATATTCAGCATAAAACCTCAAATGAACAACATCTAGAGCAGTAACGGGTGCAGTCTCGAGCTGCAGCTCCAAGCTACGAGGCACATGAAAAGTTTCAGGCTTTCCATTCTCCGATTTTCCACTTTTTTTGCCCTTTGGCTTATCCTTTGGAACACCAGCTAGTGTTTTTAATTCATTGTTATCTGGATATAAGTACCGATACAACCCTTGGGAGCATAATAACCATCGAGCAAACGAATACTTGCTGAATTTCTGTATTACTGATACCATAATAAGGGTTATAACTAATTGTGCGCCGAGTAAAGCCTGAAAAATAGTAAAATGTTGAAATATCTTTAAAAATTGAAAGGACATATAGTGATAAATACAAACTATTATATGGCCTACTCAGACGTACCATTTCAATTATTTTTTTTACTTCTTTAACGAGTATTCATGGTCTAATTTTAATTGAATTATTTTTAAATTCATCCGGGATATAACCTTAATCTGTCATTCCTTGACATTATTACGCGAATAAAATAAAAATACCATTATTTTTATTTTACCACGCAAATGAATGAGATGAATTTATACTCAACCCGTTTGAGAGACAGAAAGAGCTATATGCAACTTAGTTCATGGAGTGTTTTCTAAAATTTTGCAATTTATTCTTTCAATTAGATGAAACATAGATAAATAATCTTTTTCTACCAATTTCTACAATAGATTAAAAAGATTGATGTTGAATGAGAGCCAACCCTGGCCAACCCAGAAAAGCACTCCTCGATGGACACTTTTATTAATACAGTAATTCTACTCTTATTTTTAGGTTATTATATGGCAAAAAAATCATGTTTTTATCCTAATTTAGCTTACAGCTATAATTCCAGAATATTTACAAAGCTTAGTACGCTGTTAAATTATTGCTTTGTAGTAATTTCTGTCTTTTATATGGTAACACTTTTTTAATCGTTATCTCTGCGGCTTTGCGTTGCGCATTGAATGACGAATCCGCTGAAACTAGAAAATCATAAGCTATCGATTTTTGCTGTTGCCATTTAATTCGGTTTCGTCGCCGCTAAAGTCTGTTCGCAGACTGTTGCGACGGAGCCTATATATTGTATGTTTTTAATAGTGTAGTGTGAAAAAAAATAATCGCAAAAATGGGTTCGCTGTTTAGAAGTGAGGAAATGACTTTGTGTCAACTTTTTCTGCAAAGTGAAGCAGCTTATGCTTGCGTGTCCGAACTTGGTGAACTGGGACTCGTTCAGTTTCGCGACGTGAGTATTTATCAGTATAAACGCCCCTAGTTTTGTTTGCGCACATTAGATTATATTGGCTCATTTAACATACAGTGCAGACAATTTGATGGAAAATCTGTGACCCCCTTTCAAATTGATATCCTAAGGTTGTCCCAGTTTCGAGTCTGATAGAATAAGTCTATAGATTATTAATTTATTCCCTGAACTATATATCTAAAGAATGTTACTCAAAGTTAGATTATCTTACTTATTAAATTAAAATTTACTTTTAATTAAAATTGAGTTTTTTTCTAATATTTATTAGTTTTTCTTATCGTCAATTAAAAAAAAGAATGAAAATTCGTCATTTTCACGCGTATATTCGCACTAATTTATTATGCCATCCTGGGAAAAAGCACAGTATTATAGGTTATCTCTCACTTTCCATTCTGGGCCTTATTTAGAATGTTGCAGACTTTTCTGCCTATTTTTAGGCACATATGTATTGAAAGATATTTCTGAATTAATACTTGTATTGTTAGATAATTTAATATTGATTATTTATACATTTTACTTAATTGAATTCTTACTTCCTGAATAAGAATTACATAATTTTTAGTAAATAGGTTTATGTATCAGGAAAATAAATAATAGTTATAATGATTCAATGTCTTTAATAGAAATTAAATTTAATATTATTTAATATAACATAACAGTGTTTATTATAAATTTATGCATAATAGTATTTTATAAAGGAAAATGTCTGATTGTCCTACTCACTGGGAAAAACCGTATTCCTAGAAATACAAAGATTTCTTTCACTTGAATACAGTTCATAACAGTTAAAGTAATGATGATATAATAATGTAATTACATATTTACTTGTAAAGTTTCCTAGTAACAGGAAATATCACATACATAGTGTAGCTTTAAAATATAACTGTGGGTTTACACTGCAATGATATTTGATATACATATTGTACAATGAAAGCTGGATAAGGCCTCTGTAAGCGAGAGTCATTGTACAGACATCATATATGACCTCCATTATCAGGTAACTCTGGTAAGAGAGAAACCCTTAAAGGAGAGGGACTCATGCTTATTCTGGTTCATTTTTTGTCTCTCTTTTATCAAGGAGAATGAAAGAGATGTCAATATCAATACAGTGGAGGTCTAGGATAATGTAGAATTTCATGTGTTATGCAATAAAGTAATATTTCTCTTTGTTACTTTAACCAGTCATGTGATTCTCATCAATTAATTGATAAATTGCTTATGATAAAATTTGTTATCAAAAAAAATTAGATAATTTATGAAGTAAAGATAAAAATTAACACCAGAAATGTGTTAATGTTCTTTTAATTAATAAGATTTATTTTATAACATCATTATTATACTATCTAAATATAACTGCAAATAATAATATCAAAAACTTCTTCTTCTTCTTCTAGCTCTACAGCCCTTTGTAGGCCTTGGTTTGGTCCAGCAACTTTTTCCACCTCGGTCTATCTCTGGCCACGGACTTCCAGTTTGCTATGCCCTCTATTTTTGCGTCCTTATTAACGCCGTCTATCCATTGGAGCTAATATCAATAACTACTCATAGTAAATTCCAATTTGCATGCATAAACCATACATTACATTATGTAATAACTAACCCAAATAAAAATCCTTTTGACCATTTACACCTCTAGGAGTTTCTATAATTCAAATGTTACGAAATTTAAATATTTTATTAATTTTAGTTCCAATCCATTCTCAAGTAAAAATATGTCTATAGCTGAATCCGGACGTGAACGCTTTCCACCGTAAATTCGTCAATGAAGTCCGCCGCTGCGATGAAATGGAGCGCAAACTCCGGTACCTGGAGAAGGAGATCCGGCGTGACGGGATACCCATGCTGGAGATCCCGGGAGAGTGCCCCGAGGCGCCCCAGCCCAGAGAGATGATCGACCTTGAGGTAAGACCAACTATACTCCACTGACATAGAGACCAAAAGTGGTTCTTAGTATCCAACAAAAGAGATCGCCAAATAAACCTGTCCTAACTATAAAGACTAATTATTACCCAAAATACGCGCTACGCAAAATAAGAGTTGGGAAATATTACAATACAGTTTCATTGTTCGTAAAGGGTTAGTAAACTTAACGGTATAGAGATATAAGTGTTAAACCAAGCGACCGCACACCTGAGTATTTGATATAAATTCCAGTTTGATGCCTTCACGCGTTTTTGAGAAAAAGGGTTTTGACAGACGGACGGACAACAAAGTGATCCTATAAGGGTTCCTTTTTTTCCTATGAAGTACGGAACCCTAAAAAAACAAGAAAAGTAAGACAGAATTGAGCTAAATGGTTCGTATTCTTTGTCCACTGCCTTGGGTTACGTATATGCGTACATTTTTTTTGTACCACAGGCCACGTTTGAAAAGCTAGAAAACGAACTCCGTGAAGTGAATCAAAACGCCGAAGCCCTGAAGAGGAACTACCTCGAGCTGACAGAACTTAAACATATTCTGAGGAAAACTCAAGTGTTCTTCGATGAGGTAAGAATAACTGACGGAATCATCACTTCGTAAATAATGTAGATAGATGAAAGAAATGCTGAAATCTAGATCGATACTTGCTTCAATTTTATAAGTAAATTCTAATTGTTGGTAAAGAAATTTTTCAACTATGTTCATTTAAAGGATCAGAGTGTTTTAAAATATTTCTTAATAATTAATTTAATATTTTCCTAACATTACATAGAAGTCACATGATTTCATTACAAAAAATTACCAGCAGATCGGTCCGATAATATATTTTTTTTTTAATTTGCGTAACAACTAAGTCGTAAAATAATCGAGTGATAAGATAATTCATGTAGGAGATATCCTCGTTATGCCGAGCAGCAAGTTGGTCAATTACGAACCCTATTGAATTATGGTCCGTCGTAAACTAAACATTGTTTTCTTGTATCTTAACAATGGTCAACATTGGATATTGTTTTACAACACGTCATTGTGGTAATGTTGACAGTTCGATAGTATCATGTCAAGGATCAACAAAAAGTAATATACCACACACATTGTGTCGAAGGCAATTACATTGAGCCAGGTTTAAATTGCTGTTGTAGAAAAAAACTAGCTCCACGGTGGCCACACGGCTTTTAAAATGGATTTTACAAACCCTTGTATTGTTTCATTTCTTGTTATACTAAAACAAAAACAACCTACTTAATTAAAAACACTGATTAACGTCCACTTCTAATTCTAATTTGAATACGTTAATTTCAGTCTCGTGTAACATTCAAGTTAATTTAAAATGTCTTTTCTTGTTGTAAGTCCTTCACTTTGCTTTATTTTATGACATTTTCATAGATTATATTTATTTTGATTTGTTTATTTTTTTTTTCTATTAAAAAAGTGTTTCAATGCCGATGTCACAATTATTTTTAGTGAATATCGTTGGACAAAATTTTTTGGGGTTTATTTCGTAAAATATAATGTGACATTGACATTGGACGCGACACTGACCTTGGCGCCATGTTGGCGTGTGTGTGCACAAGATGGCGGACCCGTCGCGCGAGGAGGAACAGGTCACCCTCCTGGGGGAGGAGGGCCTCATGGCGGGCGGGCAAGCGCTCAAGCTGGGGTATGCCGATTAACTTTGATCGCTCTCTGACGTGCCTTGACTTCCTTACTCCATCCTGAGCCTCGTGGTTTGGGATGTTTTATGAGTCAAAGCAAGTCGTAGAGCAGTATTATTTTTTCAGCGCTTGTACTGTGACGCTGACGCGGGAGTCTACCTCTCACCACTCAGGCAAGCATTGGAGTCAGCCGGTCTATAGTACATCATCAGAATAACACATCTCTTTAACTCCTTGTGTGATTGAATGATAGCCTACCGTAGCGATGTGATACGCGTCCTTAGATTGACAATTCTAATACGAAATATCGAGGTCTAATTCCGAGCTCCTGCGGATGCTAACCGACTGCTGCCTGAGTGAGTTTGACGACTAACCAACGTTTTCCACGAACATAATTTATTTTTGAAGTCCACCCGACCGCGTGTCCACGTCCGAGAGCAAAGTTGTCGCATTATAATTTTTTTTTATGATTTCATATCGTCATGCTTTCCGTTTTCCTGTCATATCTGCATGCATCTCTGAGTTCTCTACCCATTTATGTAGTCTAGCCTCACGAAGAGATATTTTTTGTCGAACGAAGACTTAGTTTTCTAGCGATAGACAAGAACGAAACACTGTACTCTAAAGGAAACACTTATGCGAGTAGTATAACACTAACAATGCAAGAAACGCTTTGGAATTTGTTGAGTAGTTACATCGTAAGCACCGATACAGTCACGCGCTGGCGCTACTTTT